CGACTATTCGCCTTCTGCCAAGTGATCTTCAGGGAATATATGCGAGGCATCCCTGAAATACTGAAAGCCTCGATAGGAACATTCTAGAGAAAATACCACCAGGGATATATAATTTTAAAACTCAGATGAAACAATTTAAGCAATGCATAGAAAATGTAGAGAACTCTCAGCTGTCATCACGCACGCCAGCAGCAGTGGCTCGCAGGTGTGCTTCGACGGAAAGGTTGCACAAAAAATGCTGCATGACGTTCTTCGCCTTGGGAGGTGCAATGGTGATGAAGAATCAGTTAGTTTCTTCAAATCATCGACCGGATCGATGGCAAAACGACAGACAATGAAAGGCTGAACGGTTATCAATAGCTACAGTCGTGGTGCTATACTGTATGGCACGGAAAGTATGGATACACGTCAGAGAAACTGGCTGAGTCAGTCATGACCAGAGGAACCACAAAACAAAACACAAAACGGTACAACAGTAACAAAAACAGCAGCAAAGCAGGAACGAACGAAGGCAGTCAACTTCTGCATAAAATGGTCAGTAGAAAGAACTTAGTTCCAAAAGGAACAAAAAATAAAATTTATTTAACAAGTGCATTCATCAGTAATGTACAAAATTTAAAATTATGTTTCGGCTTTAATACGTTTTGTTTGAGGTTCTTCTTCCATAATGTTTTCTGCTGTAGGCAACGTCGGAGCAATTTCAGGTAGTTCCATTTTCGGTTTTTCCTCTTGGACGGCTAAAAACAGAGACGGCGTCTAGACTTAATATTTAAATCATCGACAAACTAATGAAGTACTTGAGTCTTTCTCAGTGAGTTTAGCGCATTTCGGCTCATCAGCGAAATTCGGAGGGAAACTGGGAGGAAACCTGGTGAATAAGTCGTGCAAAAGGCACTCGACTCGACCCTTTTGAAAACTGCTCATTCGGCCATCGGCTATGTTGCATTTGGTCTTGTCAGATTCTAAGTAATAACGTAAATAATGAATAAAAATGCACATGAAATTATATATGATATTATATGCCTAAAATGATACACAAATAAAAATATACAATAAATCAATCCCAAGATATTGCATTTACTATATTGAAATTTATGTTACGACTTATATTTAAATAGTCAGCCCTCCCTGCCTTTTCGTATCGGAAGGTCATAACTGCGACAGTCTGGTGTACGGTCCAGAAGCCTGCTATCAACCTCAACGACAGGCATATTTGGCAAAGGTCAGACCAGTGAGCACAAAAAACGACAGCTGGCTTGAATAAAATGAACAACTCTCCTCGAGTGCATCAAACTCACCTGAAAGGCAAAGGAATCAGGACATTTGAAAATTTCCTTGCAGCTGGTACCTCCCACCCCCTCAGACCCCAAATATCTGAGATAAACTGCACTTAAATTGTTTGAATATAAAATTCTTTTGGTGCCACAAGCACGTCTGCAATTGCAGTCAACACTATTTGGCAGGGAATATAGGCACCAGAGACACTTAAAAGCATTGGAACCTTGGCCTGCCTAAATACCTTCTACGCCTATGGAAACAATAGGGCGATCCCAGTTTGCTGCATCACCCGGACTTTCTCTACGACAGGACGGTGTATATCAACTCCAGTTCATTTTTAAACTGAAGATTCGAATATTTATAAGCTATTAATGCAACTTAATAATAACTGGAGTAAATGCTAATGAATAACATATCATATCAATATTATCACACCACGTATGAAATTAACAGCTAAACGAAGAAAGAAAAAGGAATCAAGGAAATGTTGTAACTATCAAAATATCTGTTTCCCTTAGACTTTTACAACAGGGCCAATTCTAATGTTCTTTCTTTCATGAAGTTAATGCTGGTGCACCGATCTCCATGCCATCACCTCGAAGAGTCATATATTTTTAAAGGCAAAGTCGACAGCAGCTATGTGGAAAATATAGTTAGTAGTATCCTATTTCCTTTCAACAGAGAGATAAAAATCATAAAATCACCTGATTATCAACCACGAAAGGAAGAAAGGCAATGATGGGCCCAAGCTTGGCTCGAACCTGGGGCCTCCAGATTCTGCGACTGATACTTTAACAACCCTGGTCTTGAAGTGAAGAAAACTCGAGAAAGTCTTGTCTGTTGGTGACAGGAATTACTACTATCCGCTTGACGCCAAAAATGCACTACTTTGAGAAACTTTCACTCACTTTCGCTGAGAAACAATGCACTACTTTGAGAAACTTCCCGTCAGTATCTGCTGAAAAGCATTTTTAAAGTACAGTTCAAGGAAAATGACCAAAAACATACCAACAGATGTCCTAAATTAACGGAGAAGG